TTCCTGTGCTTGCTATGTCCAGCCTTGGAATAAAAAGCCAGTTGGGTTAATACTTCGTGTCTGTTATGTTGAAGCTACAGTGATGGATACAGCAAGTGATAGAACTGCAAGTAAGAGAGCTGTTTTCCAGGAGGCTCAAGGGCTCACATTTGGAAGGTAATTTCATTCTCTCAGGAAGCCACAGTTTCCACAATCTCTAGCTTTCCTACTACCGTGGTTTTGAAATGCTCCAGTTTTGTCAATTGGAACCTCAGTATCAAACTAAGAAATGAACGGAAGTGAAAATACTTTCTCAACTATAAAGTGCTGTACAGCAGTGTGATTATGAGGAAGTGCTAAAAGATAAGCTATGTCAAGAAGGTAGGTCTAAAATTTTGATCTACTGTTTAAATCATCACGTTAGCTTGGGAATGTTCATTCGACCTTAAGTTGTACCGGATGCAGTCATTTTATTCTTACTTTTCCATACGCTTTTAAATTCAGTCATAATCACCACACCTGTGAACTGATTGTGTGTGCCTAGCTGCACAATCAACACCCAAAGGGGAGTGCCCTAATTTCCCTGGCACATGCCTGCACACTTGGAAAGAGCCAGGGGACATTGACACCCATAGCTCTGCGCAGACGGAGCTGACCCTGGTGGTCAACAGTCCAACTAGGAAGGAGCACCAGATAAATAATAAGACAAAATGACATTTTTCCTTCCTTTTGAAAATGCTTAAACCAAGGTTGCAATTTAACCACAATAATAGGGGATATTAAACAGTTTAAATCCACAAAGTAAAAACTGTTAATTCACAAGATATCCACTTGCCTGGTAAATTTTAGTTCCTATTAACCTTTCTCTTTGCTTGGTCACTGGTCAATTACTGTATCTGAGGGGACTTTCCCCTCTTGTTGTTTTTGGTTCTTGTGTTGTGACTGGCTAAAGTCAGTATGCTAGAATAATCTGGTTTTGATCAAATCCAAGCCACAAGTAGACAACAGGAAAGGAAAGAATCTCAACGGACCGCCAACACCAAAGAGGCACCCATTTATGAGAGAAAAGAACCAAAGTTATTTATTCTATGAAATGATTAATATTTTATTAAATGTTAAGCATTTTATTAGTTGCATCCTCTGTCCAGACCAAAACAAAAAAACCCCAACCAACTTAGACAATCAAATCCTTTGACCTCTTTCTCTCCTTTCCTAGATATTTTGAAATTCATAGTCTTTTTGCATTTATCACAGATTTGCCAGGTTTGGTACTACAGTGGTACCTCAGTTCACAAACTTAATTTGTTTTATGATTTTTGGGAAGATGGCTGTGTTTATGTTTCTGTGGGGAGAATGGCCATGGTCGGGTTTGTCACCAAGGTGGAGTTTGGAAGTAGAAGCAAAATTTTGCCGAAAATTTTTGTTTCTGAACCGAATTGTTTGCAAACAGAAGCATTCTTGAACCAAGGCATTACTGTATACATCATCTTCAATAGAGAAATTTCTTTCAATAATCTTTCTATAATAAAATCATATGGCTATTAAGTTGAAATATGCTCTAAACATATTTTTATTTATAGTTAATTTCATTAAACAACCTTTGAAGATAATGATTGTATCTTATCTATTAATAGCTGCAAACACTCCAAAACTTAGTAGCTTAAAACAAAAACCATTTATTGGTTGCTGAGTCCCGGAACCAGCTTAGCGGGTTGTTCTTCTGCTCCTGTCCTTTCAGCTGCCTCCCTCCTGCATTTGCAGCCAGACACTGGCTGGGTGGTCCCGCCACCTCCCCTCTCTCTGCGGCCTCAGCTAGGCTGGCCAGAAGAGCTAGGTCCCTGGGCTTCTCCCTGTCTCCCAAAGTGATCTCTCTTTTTCCAGAATGTCTCAGCCTCAGGGGAGCCACTGGGCTTGTTCACACGGCGGCACCAAAACAGACTTCTGGAACCTGTGGCTTTGACTCTGGGACTAGGAAGTAGATGTCTAGGAGGAGGCTGTTGGTGAGGCTGAAATACCGATGAAAGTGCTTTGAGAAGATGGAAAACAAACGAACAGCATTAGGTAGCGGCAGAAACAGTTTGTAAAAACTGTTTACCAAGGTAACTTGAAAGATTAAAAAATATGTCTATGGCCGAGTAGTCTCTGGCCAAGTATGTTTCCAAGCTGAATGGCCAAAGTGTCAATTGGTTTTAGGTGCAAACAATTAATTACAGAAAGTAAGGTAAACTAAAGAAGGCTTATTCCATTCATAAGCAGAATTTAAAGAAAGTGTAAGGGAACCTGGATTTGCTAGGTTAGAAAATGAAGCTTCCCCATCCCCAGGCTTTCCAACCAGCAAAAGTTCTCAAAGTGTGAAAGTAGACTAAAAGTCAAATTAACAGGCCAAACCCTTTAAGATTCTGGAGGCTTTAAGGTGGTGTTTCCTGAAACCTCTCAGCTTGACTGTTAGTAAACTTTTCATCACTGTGACAGAATACCTGGGAAGACGACTTCAAGGAGGAAAGGTTTATTCTGGCTTCTGGTTCCAGGCCGTGGTTGGCTCCATCGCTGTGGGTCTGTGATGAGGCAGATCATCATGGCAGCAGGCGTGTGTGGCGGAGGAGGTTGCCCACCTCCTGGCAACCAGGCAGTGGAGAAAGAAAGAGCCAGAGAGAGATAGAGTCCCACACAGGCGGGCTCCTGTGATCTGCCTCCTTCAATGAGGTCCCCCCACCCAGGTTTAATCACTGTCCGGTAATACCGTCGCATCATAAGTGCATCAGTGGGCTAATCCTTGGCTGAATCAGAGCCGTCCCGACCCAGCCGTCTCCCAGATGCCCCCCTCCTAACTGCTGCCCTGGGAACCAAGCCTTGGGGACATTTCATACCCAAACCACAACATGGCAAAGGACTTCTCCAAATCCTGAAGGCTCAAAAGAATCTGTCTCAAAAAGAAGTATGGCTTTGCCTTTCAGGGGATGGAGTGAACCCAAATAAAGTGTTTATAAAGCCCATACTGTTCTTCAGAAAACTTTATAGAGGTATAAAGTAAACTAAACGGCATATAGTCAAAAAGCATGCAGTGATCATTTTGACATACATATACCTATGAAACTCACCACAACAGGGAATCAAGAGAAACATTTCCTTCACCTCTAAAATTTTCTTTTTCTCTTCCTTCTTCTCATCCCTAGCTAAATGCTGGTATGGTTTCCGTCACAAAATGTTAGGTTTCATTTATAAGAATCTTACATGAATTGAATCAAGCAGTATGTACTCCTTTCTGCCTGGATTCTTTCACCCAACATAATGATTTTGAGATTCATCTGTATTGTTATGTGTATCAATAATTTATTCCCTTTTAGTACTAGTAGTTTCCTATTGCACCGATACACCATCATTTATCTGCTCATTCAACTGTTGACAGATATTTTGATTGTTTACAGGTTGAATGGTTTTGTTGTTCCTTTTTGGCTGCTTCAACTACAACTGCTATGAACATATGAACACTGATGTGCAAGTGTGTTTATGTAAATGTTTATTTGAACATACACGTTTCTCTCTCTTGGGTTAATACCTAGGAGTAGGTGGTTGCATCACATACATGATACAGCTATGAGTGCGAAATTCTTACCTGCTGTGATTGAATGATCCACCTGCTCCACATCCCCACCAACACTCAGTTATGTTCAGGTTTTAAAATTTTTTATCCATTCTGATGAGTGTATTAGTTTTAGTAAGCATTTTTTTCTGATTACTAGTGAAATGGAGTATGTTTTCATTCTCTATCTCTGGATTTTTTTGAGAAGTATCTTTTCAAGTCTTTTACCTATTATCGATGTCTTATTATTGAGTTGTAAGAATTCTCTTATATTCTAAATACAAGTCTTGTCTGATAACATTTAGTGGATATTTTCTCCTCATGTATGACTTACATTTTTGTTTTCTCCTAATAGATTTTTCCAAAAGAAAAAGCTGTTAATATTGATGAAATCTAATTTATCAGTATTTTCTTTCATGGTTTAGCTTCTTGTGTTCTAGCTAAGAAACATTTGCATATCTAAAGGTTGCAAATATTGTGTGCTTGGTTTCCCTGTGGAAGTTGTATAATTTTAATTTTCACATTTATACCTGTGATCCATTTCCAGTTAAATTATTTTGGATGGTGTGAGGGAAGGTTTCCAGTTGATCTGAAATCTTTTTCTGAAAAGACTTTTCCCACTTAGCATCATTGTTGAAGAATGAATTACCCATATATGCATGAGTTCATTTCTGGACTATTTTTCCATTGATCTCTTTGTCTTCATGCCAATACTAAGCTGTCTTGACTAAGGTAGCTTGATAGTAAGCCTTAATACCAGGTAGGCTAAACCTTCCAATTAACATTTTATGTACATTAAGGCCTCTGTATTTCCTTATGAGTTTTAGCATCAGCTTGTTGATTTTTACAAATGTCCTGCTGACATAATGGTTAATATCCTGTTGAACATATAGTTCAATTTTGGAAGACTTGCCAGTTTAACAGTACTGTATTAAGTTTTGCAATCTATGAATATTTTTTCTGCTTAGTGAAGTGTTTTTCTTCAGCAGTATTTCCATTTCAACACAGTTTTCATTTACTTTGATTTTTAAAAATTTTATTCCCTGGTATTGTACAGTCTTTTTTGCCACAACTATTAAGAGATTTAAAAAATATCTATTGGTATCTAAAAATGGAAAATTTTAAATATTACATTTTATCTTATATCTGTAACCAAGTGCTAGATGAAATAAGGTGAACTACACTCTCCTCCTGTTTATTGTAATTTTATTTAAGGGTCTTTGGTTGCAAGTGTCAGAAACCCATTTAGCCTATCTTAAAGATGAGGAATTTGTTATGCAGGTAGTTTTTGGAAAATAAGGGCTGCCTTAGGGACTGAAGCAGAAAATAGAAAATCTGACCAGCAACTAAGGAAGCTAATCTATCTGTTTTCCTCTGAGACTGACTGTATACATAAATTCTCTTTTATTCTTTCCTTTAAAATTTTTTTCTCCCTTTTCAGCACCTTTGACTGTTTCTCCACCTAACTTACAAAGGATGGCCACCTCAACTTATAGTTCCCCAGGTAACGTGATCTTACCCCCTGTGACTAATGAAAACTATCTGAAAACTTACCCTCTAAATCCCATTATACATTCTAAGAGGAGAGAGTCTAATTGGTCTGGCTTGGGCCAGGTGACCATTCCTGATCCTGTCCAGTAATGGTTCAAAGTTAAGTTCATGAGGTTCAAACAGCTAGGATGGGAGCAAGTTTTTAGACAAGACAGGATATAGCTGGGAAAATGCTTTCAAACTTTCTACTCCAACTGCAATTCCAATGGAGAGAGAGCAGGAAAATTGGAATGTAAACAGAATGCTAAAGTATAGAAGGAATTATATTTAGTACTGTGTAAAGGATAAAGTGGATAAGGAGAACATGGCCCAAGAAGATGCCTTAACTGAAATGAGAAAGAATACTGAAAGGTTAGGCCACTGAGAGGACTGAAGTGGAGGAGGCATAATTTGAGTTTGAAGAAGAGAGGCTTTATGGAAGATTTTTGAAGTAGGAGCAAATTTGACCTTTATTCACGTAAAATAAAGACTCAGTGGGTGTCTACTATATGCCTGGGCTGGGTGCTGAGCCCTGGGATTATCTTCCTGGGACTTTCTAGGGCATACGAAGGATGTGAGCTGCCTGGAGAGTGGCAGGGATGCTAGCCCTCTGGGTTACAGAGAGACAAAGTCAGAACACACAGGGACAGTCAAAAAAAACAAATCAGAGAAGGCATCACCTTTAGAGTAAACTTTCACTTTCGCATTTCTTTGATTTTCTCACCCATAATTGAGGATAAAGTATGGATAATCTTTCACTTTCTTTAAGAGGTACGTGAGGAGCAAAGGTAGATTTTAATGCAGTCTTAGAAGCGAACCAGTAGAAAATTAGGACAGAACTTGAATCGCTCTGACCCTGCAGCTGATCACTATGTGGCTGTCCACAGCCTTCATCTCTCCTGCCTTATTCTTGAAGCACCGAACATAATTGTAGCCCCATGAACACGGACGGGACCATTTACTCTGTGCCAGGCCCCATTGTACGGGCCTCACGTGAATACCACAGTTAATCCTCAGAACAACCGAATGAGATGGGACTGTTGTCATCCTCCTCATTACAGAGATGAAGAAATTGAGGCACAGAGTTTAAGTGCTTTGTTCAGGGTTAGTGCTTTCTTAACTACTAAGTGGTAGAGCTGGACATTAGACCCAAAAATATCTGCTTCCATACTGCAGGTCTTTTAACAGTATGCTGTGGTCCTCTTGTCTGTCATGAACAGAAGTTTTTGTCATAATACTCTTCTAGTAGGAAGGTCCCAGTCCACTAATGTACCTCCTGTCCCAAAGTGATGAAGAGCACAGGACCAAAGATGCTCTTCACAGGGCTGTAAGGGGGACTCACAGTCTACACTGCACTCCAGCGCGAGCCTGAAGCTCAAGTCAGGCGTGGCGCCAGCCCTCCTGGAGCACACTGGAGCGCCCTTCTTTGCAGAGGCTGGCATGGTGCAGTCACAGGCTTGCTGTCCCGCTGTGGGCCATGTGTCCTCTGCGGCAGAGTCCTCAGCCAGTTGCCAGGCATCTCCTCATCAGTGTGGATGAGGGAGGGACGAAAACATGTTGTTCCAGGAGAGTATGCCAATGTGCAAATGTTTTGTATCTCCAGTAACTCCAAATTTGCTCACATTTCGTTATTGAAAAGATCAATGTCAAGTTATCAAGTTCCATTATCTAATATAAGCTGGCAGCCTGTAGCCTTTTAACATGAACCTAGGACAACATGGTGTTGAAGTTAGGTCCTGTGATTTACGAGAAACAGAGCCACTCACAATACTTCTAGAAAAGGGAGGTTTTGCTGCAGGTCTCCCCCTAGATTAAAAAAGGAACCAGGAATGCTCCAGGGGTCCAGGAGCTGTCTGTGTCTCAAAGGAGCTTGATTGCTAATGTGTTGGTGCTTTTCTCTTTCTCTCTATAGGTGGACTTCCTCTGTTGACTCAGATTTTTCTTCCCTGTTTGGATTTTGAAGAGTACAATAGAAATCAAGTCCCTCGTAGGTCATGATGATCCAGCTTTTGCCATTGATAATACTCCACAAATTTCTTCTCTTGGCTTTTATTCACATTCTTGAGAGAAGGAATCTGATTGGCTGAACACATGTTCTGACCATGACGTCAGAAGCTGTGGGTGAGCCTTGGGCTGTACTGTCTCTTCTGGTCCACCCATCAAGAATGGCAAGAATATAGTTTCTCTAGCATGAGAAACTGAAAGTGTAAATAAGGATGAAAATGATTAAAATGAATAATTGATAATTTGAAATAGGAAAAGGTCCAAGGGTTTGGGGATGGCAGGAGGGGAAGGGGAATGGGAAGAAGGGAAAGGAAACATTATGAGAAAGAAAAAAAATGGAATCAAAGTCTGTGTAAATAGGGAAGGGTGGAGGGGGTGAAGGGCGCACAGGTAATGGGGAGAAAATAAGAACCAGGATGCATCATGTTCAGGTACAAACACCCAATGATAAATGTAAACGTATTGTATACCTAACATGTACCGATAAAGATATATATATAAAAAAAAAAGAATGGCAAGAAACAGTCACCTGGTAGAAAACAGGCCAGCCAATGACATGCTCTCGTACATGAACTGTAAACATGTCTAGTGTAGGTGAGATATTGGGGTACAAATGATGCAAGATCTTGGTAGCAAGGTATTAATTTGCCAATTTTAAACATTAAATAAAAATTAGCCAATTTAAAAACACTCAATTATATCATTTCTAGCAATCTTTATTTTTTAATCTTTAAGATGTAAGATTACCTATATTTTCCAGAGTTAATTCTTCAGCAAATTTGTGTGTTGTTATGAAGAAAGTAACATTTTTTACACAAGTAGATTATCAAAACATGGTTCAAAACTAATTATAATCTCTTTCCTCTTCTTAAGCTTCACAGATATCCCCAGCATTCCCAATCTCTTCCCCAGAGTTTGATTTCTTCTGTCCGACTTCGCTTTAATTTAGGGCAAATAGTCATTGCAAATGAAACTACCAGAAGAAACAAGAAATGTTCAAAGGATTTATCCTCATTGTTTGGTTTCTAATACAGGATCTTCAAGGTCAGGGTTCCTAAAATTATTCTCTAGAGAAAATTTGGGGGACAGCCAGCAGATTCAGAGACCAAGGTGTATCTTAGTAATACAGAATGAAGTAGCACTAGGCATAGAAATTGAAACTCACTTTCATTATTTTCATTTGAAATAGTCTCATGACAGTTACTCTAAAGAATCTCGGTTTTTTCCAAAGCCAGATTTCTGTGCTGTTTTGACGATTCCTGTGCTGCGTTTGTCAGTCATTTCCTCTTGTCCACACTTGCTTCTCAAGGACTTCTCCTGCCAAAAACTCTGAAAAGATCTGACCAGTCCCCTCAGCAAGAGTGAGCATGGCGTTCAGGTTTGGTCACTGAAATCCTCTCTCCCATAAAATTTGGAAACTGAAACATAGAGGTTGAATAAATAGGTGAATATAATTAATACAAACTGAGCATTCCTAATCCAAAGATCTAAAATTTGAAACACTTCAAAGTCCAAAACTTTTGAGCACCTATGCGATGCCCCAAGTAGAAAATTCCCCACCATGAAATTTTGTTACATACGCAAAATTTTTAAACATTTTTTAAATAAGAAATTTCCTTCAGGCTACATGTATAAAGTGCAGTAAATATAAATATAAATGAATTTTTCTATTTAGACTTGGGTTCCCCAACCCTCCAAAATCTGAAAAAAAAAATGCCAAATTCAGAACACTACTGGTCCCAAGTATTTGGATGCAAGTACTCAACCTGTTTTAGAATTTCCCGTAGAGCATCCCAGAGGCAAATGTAGCTGCAGTTACCTGAAGACCTAGGGAAGAAGCTCATCGCCACAGGAAGATGGAGCTGACATGCAGAGAAATGTAAAGATGATATATGCCGAAAGACCATCAGAAGTTACCTGCCTGAAGATATTTGAGTGCCTTAATGTTTCCAACTATATCATTAGAGCCCTGGCATTTCTTCATACTACAACAATAATCTTTCTTTGTTTTTTGTTTGTTTGTTTGTTTTTTGTACTACGGATTGAACTCAGGACCTTATGCTTGTGAGGCAGGCATGGTGCCACTGAGCTAAATCCCTGGCCCTATCTTTCTTTATTTGAACTAGCTTGAATATGTTTCCTTTTGTTGAAGTAAGAGTTAAGAAAATTGTTTCTTGTGTACATTATATCTAATATGGATGAAGACTACAGTTGGTAGTGCCTCAAAAGACAGAAGGAAATGGCCCCCAGCCCTTCCAGTGTCCTGTGAAGGAAATTGAAGACAAGCAGCAAAAGATGCATGTTGTAAGCCTTTGCAAGAAACAGCAGTTTAATCCAGAAGAGATCTGATGAGCAACTTCTGCCTACCACGATGAATTAATAAAAAAGTTGTCCCCAATGAGATAGAAGGTTCAGTTACTGATCATTCAGTGAGTTACACTGAGTGTCAGCCACATAAATCGGTTACTTGAGCAGCTTGGGAGCCCTCAGGAGATCACATAAGTCACCAGTAAGGTTTCCCGAAGAGTAATGGGTGAGTCACAACTGTATAGCACACTTTAACCCACTGAACACTAGGATAAATTTGAGCATAAAGCACTGAGTGGGAAAGTTGGAAGGTTTGAGCCACACACAAGAAGCTCTTTCTTCCATGATCTTCTCTAACAGTGAATTCTAGCCTTCAACAAAGTGCTATGAACAAGTTTCTGAGACAGTTCTGAACAGGTAGTAAACATCTACTGAGAAGAGGTAGTAGGCAGTGAATGTACACTTAGATTAAAAGTTCTTCGCTTTTGTCAGGGAGGTTTTAGACTAGAAAGTGAACCAAAATAAGCACAACCAAATGGCTTTATACTCTTTATACTTAGTACCTTCCTGTTTGTACTGATGCTTGAATATTGTGTTGGTAGAGTCTGTAGCTAAAGCCTCTGTGACTCTCTCTGATCACCTGACATTAGTTTAAATTAGGAACAAGTGCAATTCCAAACAATGTCATTATAACTTGCTAAGAGCATTAATAATTGAAAATTCTCTACTTGTTTACAAAGTCTAGGAAAGTCCATTCTTAGCGCTGGAAAGCACAATGTCAGACTTTAAGCAATGATATGTGCTTTGTTACTGAAGAAAGAGGCAGGCCATTTAACCCTCCAAAGCCCCAGGTCCTGAGCAAGTTGAAGCCTCAGTCATCAGCACAGGAAGCAAGGCAAAGGAGCCCAGGAGCTGACTGTCAGTCGCGTGTATGGAATCAAGTAGAGTATACAGACATCTTTGGGTTCCCAAAATCAAATTGCCTCTTTCTTCCACAGCAGCCCAAGGAACTTTCTCAGAATCTGTTAAAAACCCAAGCATGTCTGAGTTTAGAACCTTAGAGAAGCAGGAGATCAGAAAATATTTAGGGGCCAGGGATTTAGCTCAGTGGTTTCGCCACCTGCTGCGCAAGCGCAAGGACCCGAGTTCGATTCCCCAGTACCAAAAAAAAAAAAAGAAAATATTTAGAAAGTATCATGCAGATTCACAGTCTTGCCTTGCCCAAGAGTTTCATGATCATAATGTAATGGTTGAGTGGCTATCAAATGATGGCTGAAGATCAAGCAAAACACAACCCTTTTCAGAGCATAGTTCCTGCTTCATGGTCTAATAGAGCAAAGGATAAATTCTTGAAAATGTCAGAAAGTCAATAAGGTATATTCTTAGAGAAAAAAATAGTCTTTTCAGAATTCAGGCTTATTATCTAAGATAAAAATCATAGTTCATGTCCAGCATGAATTTACAAAGGCGAACACAGATGTTGCAATACACCCTGAAGTGCCATACTCAAACCAAGGGGTTTGTGGCTGCTCCACGTTACCCAGCCACATTCCTCAAAATGCCAGGCTGTCAAGAAGCAAGAGGCAACACTGTAGCTTCTCCCAGCTAGGGTTCAAATGGACCTTGACAGAATCCCTGTAGAGGTGGAAGTCAGTAGCTATGGAAGATGGAAAGAACAGGCAGATTGAGATCAGATGGACTCAGCTTTGAATCTCAGGGCCACTATTTGCCATCCCTGTGGCTTCAAGGAAGCATTGAATACCTCTGAACCTCAATTCTCTTTTCTAGAAACTGATAATATTAATACCTACCTCATAGTGTTATTGTGAGAATCAAGAGAAGGAAAGTGTAGCTTACTTCCTGTGTGGTGAGCATTCATTAAAGAGATCCTCTCTCCCAAGTAGGTCTTAGAAATAAATATCATTTCATAGCCTGCTTTGCAATGCACTATTCTCATTTCTTCCCTTGGCTGGGAGAGGCAGTAGAGTGGACTGGTCAGAGCCAGCAGCAAATGGAGCAGGGCAGCCTGGGGCCAGTTACTTAACCTCTTTGTTTCCACTGAGGACAAATGGAATTAGTGGAGGTAAAGCACCTGGAACAGTGTCTGGCACACAGTGAACACTATAAACTGTCACTATCATCACTACCACTATTATTACTTGTATCCTGGGTAAAGCATATACCCCATAAAAGAGCATATTCCAATTAAGGTTTTTTCCTCCATCTTTCAACTGGTGGACATTTTTGAGCCATCTTGGCATTTTTTATTCCTTCTGATGTCGGATTGTACTTGTCCAAAGAAGACTGCAATAGTAGTTCCCATCTTACCTGATCTTTTACAATGTTCCCTGTGACTTCTTCATCAACACATGGTGTCCACTTCCCCCGGAGTCTGGTGGACTCCCTTCTCCTGTGCTGGTGGAGTTTCGCCAGCACAGTGTGGTCAGAGTGACATTGCGAGTGATAACCGGTGGTTCAGCTTCTACCTTGGCTACTGAACATGTGCACCAGGAGCCCTGAAGCCTCCATGTTTGTAAGAATGCCAGGCCACATGGAAAGGCCACCAGGAGGTGCTCTGGTCAGCACGGCTGTAAGTCACCTTAGCACCTGAGAGGTGAAGTTGAAGCAGCCTACAGAGGACTTCAGTCTCCAGCCACTGATTCACCCTCAGCTCTTCAAACTTCTAGGCTGAGATCTCTGCTTTTAGGGAGCAGAGCCAACATACTTGTTCTCCAACTGTGCAAATTTCGGATCCACAGAATGGATGAGCTTAGTCAACCAGTTATTGTTTGAAGTTGATATATTTTAGGATAGTTTGTTATGCAGCAATAATAACTAGAATATTTTACACTGATGAAAAAAGATCCATTGTCAACCTTTATAATGTTAACATAACAAAAACTTTGAACAGAAAAGATGGCCTTCTTTATAATTATTCATGGGTGCAATTTGAAAAATAGACATTTTAGTTCTATTTTTCTATTATGAGTTGATGGGCAGGGACTGGACAAGTGTTTATATATTACATATCAAAAGCCTTGAATGGTTTTCTTCTCCAGCACATGTACAATTACAGTATTTTTTTGGAACTTTAGTTCCCAAGAAGAAATTCTTTTTTTGTAACTGAAGCAATGAAAGTTTCTCTGGTGTTTCCTAACTCTGAAATGAATATTATTTAGAAATATTCAGCTGTATTCAGTTATTGCTGAGCATTTTAAATAGCTAATGGTCTCCTTAGCAGAATTATTCATTGCAACTTCCCAACAGAGTGAAGGAATCTTTATCAGTGAGCCTTTCTAGATGTGTTTGAATCCCTCTGAGCACTCTCTGCCACTCTCATTGTGGCATCACTGTGGGAAAGCCAGCCAAGGTAATAAGGTACCCGAGACAGGGTGGACTGTGTTAAATAAAGACATGAAATCTTATCTCTTTTCTGAGAATAACCATCTGGTGTGTGTGTGTGGGGGGGTATCGTGATTTCAGATCAGAAGTTCTAGTAAAAGCTGACCTGACACCTTCCCACATTGTGAGCTCCTGCCACCTTTTCCCGAGCAGGCCGGGCTGTTCTGTAGGATCAGTGTTTGAGGGTGGTTGGAGCTGACACTGGAGGACAAGGAAGCAAGGGTGCTGAGTGGTGACAAATTGTCCTTGTCACGTGGTCTCCTTTCTTAGGGCTTCACGCCCTCCCTCCTTGTAAGAAGCTGCTTTCTGCCGGCCAACTCCCCACTTCTCTCTCCTGTGAAAACAGCCTGCTGAGTACACCTCCCATGGATGTGGCTTACAGCGTGTGTTTATGGCATGTGTTCCAGAGATGCCTAGATTTGATGGCTGGATCATCTGCCTACTAGCAATGCAACTTTGTGCAAGTTATTTAAATTCTCTGATAATCAGTTTTTAACCTTAAAAGTGGAGACAATCGTGTCCCTATTTTGCAAGATTTTTGTGATAATTAAAGAAAGAACACATCATCAGAGCCTAAAGCAGTGCTTAGAACATAACTAAATGTTCATTACATATTTGCTATTATTTTAAAAAAGTGTTAATTAGCTACCAGCAAAGGAACTGCTGGAGCCCCCGGAGACTGGGAGAGGCAAGGAAGGGTCCTGCCCTAGAGTCTTCAGAGGGAATGTTGCCCTGTCAACATCTTCGTTTTGGATTTCCGACTTTCAGAACCATGAAAGAATAAATCTTTTGCTGTTCAAAACCACCTAGTTTGTGATGATTTATTGTGGCAGCCCTACGAAATGAATATACCCAGGAAGCCACAACACCGCACTCTCAGGGACTCACCAAACATACTTCCCCACGGAAGGCAGAACTGATCCCTGGCCTCACCTCGACAGGTGAAGAAGCTGATGTTGGGAAAGGTTTGGCACCTTGCCCATCACAGAGCTAAGACACAGTCCCGTGCTTCACCACTTCACAGGTTTCCCTAAGGAGTAACCAGTGTTGATTTTGTTTTTAAAGAGGATCCTATGGTCCTAAATGCATATTGAATTGGTTAAAAACTTTTCTTTCATTCCTTCTACTTTCCTCTTCTGCCATTGTGTCTCCTAACGTGGGGCCCCAAATCCCAACTTTCATGTCATGCATGTCTCTGACTTCAGAGAGAAGGGGAAGGAGACAGCGTGAAGTAATGAATGCAACAAAAACAGAAACTTGCATTTTTCACTTCCCATACTCGTTCATCAGGACTCAACCCATTCCACATGCTAGCCCTTCTCTCATTTGTGAATAAACACTTCAGCACTGCTCTTAATAACATCATGGTCCTTTGTGCTTTCACTTTTTAAATTAAATGACATCATCAAGCTTGGGTTAGAGTTCCCATCCTCTTTTCAATAGCAATTATGCTTCCCGTTATGCACTTCAGTGTATTTGAGAAACATTTTATTTCTGGTAGATTTATTGAGATTCCCCCTCCAGGTTTCCATAGAAATCAGAAGCCCACACTCTCATAATTTACCAAGGCTCCAGGGAGCCAAGATATCAGCAAGAGCCCATTACGATTTCCTTCCTAGGCCCATCATGCTCACCTCCATCTCTTTGGTGCTGCTCAAGTCTTCCAGCATCGATGTAAGGCTGAGGGGTGCTGGAGTTGGCACACATCAAGTGGCTCCCTGTAGACAGCACTCTACTCCAGTTGCTATAGAAATAAACCACAAAACCTAACTCTGGGTTCTTGTCTCACATATTCAATTTTTTTTCCATAAATTCTTTTATTGGTACATTTTAGTGTACAATACGTTTACATTTATCATTGGGATCTTGTACCTGTACATGATACATCTTGGTTCTTATTCTTTCCCCATTCCCTGCCCACCCTTCCCCATTTACAAAGACTTTGTTTCCATTTTTTTCCTTTTCTCATAATTTTTCCTTTCCTTTCTTTCCCCTTCCGCTCCCACTTTCCCTACCCCTTTGGACCTTTTCTTCATATTTCAAGTTGTCAATTATTCATTTTAATCATTTTCATCCTTATTTACATTTGCAGTTTCTCACACCAGAGAAACAACTCGATATTTACACGTGTGTGCTATTTATTTCACTTAAGAGTATGCCCTAAATGTGCATCCATTTAGCTATAAATGTCTCTACTTTCTTGTTCTTTATGGCAGAGTAGTTCTCCATTTTGTTAAAAAAAAAAAAAATTTATTCAATCCCCAGTTGATGGGCATGTGGGCTGTTAATTGGGCTGAGCCCAAGCTCATATTAATCCCATTCCCTTCTATCCTTTCCCCTAGCCCTCCCACTTCCTTCCCCTTTGCCCCTTTTCTTCCTATTTCACATTATCTATTTTACATTTAGTCCTTAT